AACAACATACTATAAAAAAACGAGCCGACAGGAAGTAGGTCTCTTTTCGCGAAGCTGGGACAGCAGGAGGAAGGGTGAGATTTTAGCTCTGAGCTCTGACTTCTCGGCTTTCTCTTTTACATTGTTTCTGTGTTTCTTATTTAATAAGACGGTTGGTTACATCTACAGCAAGGTGATTGCAGACAACCTAAACAGAGAAAAATTCTGTGTGGGATACACTGGAAATTTTTCCAGTTTTCTGGTGCTAGCTAAAGTTTTGTGCCTATGAGGATCATGAATTCATATCTCTGTGCACGGTAGAGACATTCTAGCCTCTTGCACATGTTACTTTTGTTTTAGATATTATTCTTTTAGTTTGTTTTAAAATCCAAAATTGTAATTCAGTTTCCACTGGTCTTGGCAGAAGTCTTTCTTTTAGATGTTATTACAGAGGAGGTTTAACAAATTTATTGTGAGAGTTAGGATTTCTTTAAAGAAGATAGCCATTTTTGTAGTTAGAAATGAACGTTCCTGTATTGACAGCCTTTAAAGTAGCTTACAAATGAGAAGGGATTGGTAAAGGCTTCTTAGCTTACAGTACTAATGTCACATCTGGAAAAATGAGTGAGCTACAGTTGCTACTTCCTTCTGCTGGGAGAGCCCAGGGACGTTTATTTAACAAGGGAAGCTGCTGTGACATCAAATTAATTGTGAGCACAGAGCAAACCTCTAGGCTTGTGAGTCACACAGTTCCTGTTTTCCCTCTTTGGAGAGTTTCAAAACATGTGAAATATAAATTACCAGGACAATAACACACTGACTTTCCATTTGATTCCCAAAGTCTATATTCTAAAACTTGGGAAAATGAAAAATCCTACCGGAAGCTTGGAAATGTTTAAACATAATTTTAAAATTTTTTCATTTTTTCTTTATTTTGTGTGCACATTTGTGCCCCAGCACCAGCATGCAGACTGAAGTTAGAGGGAAACATGAAGGAGCTGGGTTATCTTGCCACCTGAGGGGTCCTGGGGACCAAACTCAGATCATTAGAGTTGGCAGCAAGTGCCTTTACCTGATCAGCCAGCTTGCTGGCCCTCAAATATCACACACTTTATCTTACAAGATTTTCTTTGAGATTTAATAGGTTAATCTGTCGTCAACCTAGAAATATCTGGAGCATGTTGAGTGGCCTGACCATTTTCGCTTGGCAACATTCTCTTTGCTTTCCATGTCCATTAAAGAGGTAACATTAAGATGGAAAACAATTTGTGCTGCCCATATGTGCTTAGGTGTGGGGCCATCACTGGGGGGGGGGGAGGCATGGGAAGACGAGGCCTTGTCCCCAAGGAGCATTACTCTCCCTTCCTCTGCCACCGTCAACAGCTGGACTCAAGGGGTTATTAACGACAAGAACAAATGGAGGATGTGAAGTTGGGCGGAGGGAGGTAATGGTGGATGATTCATTTAAAATACAGTTTTTAAATGCATCAACACTTTCAAATAAGAGATAGGATAAAAATAATATTAAAAATAAAAAAAAACAAAGTGAACTAAAAACAGTGGTAATTAACAGCATAGATTAACTGTCTGAAATCAAGTGTGTGGGGTAGAAATCCAACCCTCTGCTCTCTTTGAAGTTGAATTGTTACATGCAATGTGAGTGATGGTGAGGTTGGCAGGCCTTACATGGATATTGGCTGGCACAGCTGTGTACATTCGTAGGCATTGCACAGGATGCTGGCAGACCTCAAGGGTTCCTTGTTGAGGAAGAAAATCCTCAGGGAAAGACTTGATTTTCTTATAAGTCCAATTGTGGGTGGTTCAAGGAAGAAGATAGTCATAGCATGCAACATTTTTGAAGATTTTTTTTCAAACAAATCAGTTTTCACAGGAGGTATAAAGTTATTATAAGTGCAGGTAGTAGCAGCAGCTAATAATACTATAAAATAGTTGTTTATAATAAATATAATATTCATATTTGGTTCTATTTAAATCTTAGAGCATATATAGTCTCAGATATTCATTTTCACTATCATATTTTATTACTTTTAATAAGTTTCTATGCATCAGTATATCTGGGTAGTGCACTCTTGGGAACACTTGTCCTGCAAAATGTTTCCCCAAAATGTGCTATTTTTCAAGTAATTTTGATGAATTCTGTATACTATAAGAGAATATATGTATTTAAAAGATGACTATAGTACTGTGATTTTTTAAAAAAGAAATTGTTTTTTTATATGTGTGCTAAATTATGAGTTCAGTTGTGATTTCTGGCATTTTCTTGAACCTATTATGGAAGGGGAGAGAGAGAGAATGAGAATTGGAATGTAGTCATGACTTGATGTTGCTGGTTTTTAAAGACAATTACACGAAGATTCATGATTGTATTCTACCTGCATTTGTGTGAAATTTCACACATTAGAAATTACAATTGGGAAAAAGTAAAATAAAATGGCCCTCCAGATCCATGAGCTCCGTATTCACAGATTCAACTCATTGTGGACCAAAAATACATGTGAAGTAGTTGCATCTTTTAGAATATGAACAGAGAATTTTAAAAAATCATTTTTCCTTAAGCAATACAACACCACAACTATTCTCACAGACTTTACATTATATTAATTACTATAAATTAACTGGAGATTATTAAGACATAGAAAAGATGTGCACAGATAATATGTAAACATCCATGTTATATAAGAGACTATATAGTATCCTCAGATTTTGGTTTTTGTAAAGGGCTGGAACCAGTCCCAGAACCCATTTTCTGAGAGGTGATTTTACATAAAACATGTATATTTATAAAGACTGTACAATGGAAACAAGAGCTGAGAAGAGTGCCGGGGAGGAGGTCAATTGTTTATCGTAACATTCCCTCCACATACTGAGCGCTAGTCTATTCATCTCAAGGAGACTCTGTTAATATCTCTAGTGGATATTTTGGGAATGGTTAGGATATACACATATATAATAGAACCAATATTAATCTGCTGAATAACTGATAGTTTCAGGCTTTTAGAATATGTAGTCTTCTCTGGATGTTGAAAACATTAAAGTAAAATATGCAAAAGTTAAAAAACTCTTCTTATGTCTACATTCCAATATGTACAAGTAATTAAAATATCACCAGGAATTTTTCTATGTATAATGATAATTATCATGAAGTGAAATGGAATAATGAAATAAGAAGAATGAATGGTAGTACATATTTTGAAGGATAAGAAGCAACTGTTTTATGTCTGAATATTAGTTATAACACTGGTTATAAACTACAAATGTTTAGTAGTTAAACAAAAACTTCTGTATAAAAATCCCTAGCAATGAGCATTGTAAGGCACACCTTTAACCCTAGCACTCAGGAGGCAGAAGCAGGCAGATCTTTGTGAGTTTTGGAACAGCCAGAGTCACATAGAGACACTCTGTCTCAAAACAGCAAAAATTAAATAAATAAATATCCCATGAATACTTTTATAAAGCTCAATAATTTCATTTTTATAATTTTACCTTAAATTCCCATAAATTATAAGCATCTGCTAAAATGCCAATTGCATCCCCAACAATCATTTCTCATGGTAGGAAAACTAAATTAGGTAGCATTTTTTTTTTTAATGCTCAAAGTAAGTTCCAGAGTTACTAAATAAGATTTATGTTTTCACATGAAATTGATTATAACTTTTCATGTCTGAGAAACTGCATTCTAGAATCTAAATAAATGAAACATGCTAGTTACTTTAAAAAATAAATTATGCATCCATTTGAACTCTGCATGCAGACAGAAGTCCTTTGTGGTAGCACTTGTAGTTTCTTTTGTTACTGTCTTCTCAGAGACCAGCAAGCTTTCTACTGTTGACTTTTATGAAAATTCAAACAAGAATATTTGCATTTATTACAATATACTGCCAAACCTTGCATTAATTTCCATTGATGCCCATTAATTTGATAAATGTTTTGTCATTTGTACCATTTGCACTGTCAAAACAAGTTAATTATATCTTACTGACATCTTTGACAATTGCTTTAACTATGGCAAAAAAAAAATGTGTCTTATTTGCTTCAATATGAATTTCTTCTTGCCTGTTAAAAGCTTGAACTAAGAAAGAAGATCAAGGAAGGCCCAGGTCAAGACCGATGGTAAACAGTCATGCTCAAGACTCTCACACAAAGGCTCTCATTTTACTAGTAGAAAATTTTACGTACCTGCATAATCTGTTCTTGCATAATGCCCATCTTCAGATTTAGTGGTTGTAGTTGTGTTATCTATTAAAAAATAATAATAAAAGCCAGTTAACCATTTCCTAGGTATCTATCAAATTTACTCTTCCAACAATACCTTCATTTCTTTATTGCAGGTAAGGTTTGTTATTTTCCTCAACAACAACAGCTCAATTATAGTTTTGAGCACTCTATACAAAGGCAGACTTTCAATGCACATTTATGTTTGTGTGAATAACAGAATGGTCTCTGCTTTCTGAAGTTTGGGACAATAAGGTTCAGAACTGTAACTGAGATACATTCAATAACAGAAAAACCAGTCCAAGCTCCCTACACTATTTCTTCTGAACAACAAAACAGAGTATTCTATGTTCAGCTTTTAGGGAGGTACTTAATATATCAATACATGAAAGAGTGATTGCTTTTAATTCCAATGTTTCTAATCAATTCTTAAATTCTTGACCAGACTTTCTCTTTAGCCTCTGTCAGGAGGATGGCTGTGGTCTTCTGAACACTGGCTCCGGTGACAATACAGTCTTGTTAGATTGGAAAAGACATGCACTGTTGCTGATGGGCCCTCCAACACCTATAATCAACACAAATCTACAGTTGACTACGCAATCCATTGTGAATCAGAACTGTCTTTCGGAAATGAAATAGCTGCCTAATAAGGAGCTATCTTCCCTTTTCATTTCTGCACAGAGACTAAAAACATTCTTTGAGATGAAATTTTGCTACGAACATTACCTTGACATCGACCCAGAGACATGACTTCAATTTTCTCCTGTTTCTGACATGACGCTTCTTTGATTTGACATGCATTATCATACGATTTCCCATCAGAAGCGCAGAGGGGGTTGAAGTTGGTTTGCGAACAGTCAATGTTGCATACACACCTAAAGGAAGAGAGAAATAAGATGTGGGGCGTCAACAGTGATATCACCACAGTGTAAGTAAAATACAAATGGGAGAGAGGTAGCTGAGCAAAATGCAACAGAATCGAGTTGTGCTCTTCCAGAGAAGTTCTGCCAGTTTTCTGGGATGAAAATGCAACACAGAACTAATAGTACATAATCCGGAGGACCTAGTAGTGAATCAAAAATAAACGTACATAAATCTCACAAGGCTATGTGAAGAATTCAAATTGGGTACTGTAGCAGAGCTGCTTTGGAAGTGACTGAAACACACTCCTGTGCCTTCTTTCGTGGAATGGCTAAACGGTTGAGAAGAGCTCAAAAGAATGTCCCAGAGGCCAGTAAAACAGAAGGCAATCAAGTGCATTCTTTGGAATGCCATCAGTAGAGATGCTTCTCCAGCACAAAGGAGACTATGCATGAAATATACCAAACAAGAAGCTTCAGTGGTCCTTAGCCTTTTGGAGAGCCACAAAAGCCCTTAGAGAACGAAGCGGCAGGTGTGGGTAGCCTCTCCGAAACACTCATACCCTAGAAAAAGAATTTACATGAGCTTGCATGGGGTTCTCAGGCTTCTTTCAGCATATCCCAAGATTCCTTCCCAAGGTATACAGTTTCTACTTTTGTCTGGTATTTTACATAATAAAGTGACAAATTCAAATTGGTTGCTGCTCATGGCTTTAATATTTTTCTTCTAAAGACTAGAGAAACATTTGGTGAATTAAGGAGAATTAATTAGGTCACATAAACTACAATTGAATATTGTGAAACAAACCTTATAAAATTATTTTTAAGTGTTCTCTCAATTCTGTTTTACAGTCTACGTTCTTCTTTGGAATATCACATCTTGGTTAAGAGCACTGGCTGTTCTTGCAGAGGGCTCAGCACCCACATGCTGACTCACAAACATGGGTAATTCCTGCTTCGGGGGACCTGACATCCTCTCCTGGCCTTGGCAATTGCTGTATGAATGTAGCTGCATATACATCCATTTGGAAAAACACCCGTACTCATGAAAAAGCACTAAATCCAACCAATTAGCATATTGCATTTTTGGTGTGTGCAAACCTACTATTTCTACAGAATAAAAATTGAAAGATTATTTACATTTGTATTCTTTATTCTATATGTTCTTCTTGAAGTTGTGAATCGGTTCTGAATACATTACATGTATGCATACTATACACGCGCTAGCATGTGCGAGTGTGCATGCACACACACACACACACAAATAATAATAATAACTCCGTTGCATACTGGCTGTTAACATTCATTGCTTCATTCATGCAGCTATTACACAGGCCAAGATACCAGACAGTACATAAAACCAGGAATCTAGTAAGGTACAGGACACACACACACCGCTGTGAGGTGTGGAGGCCTGACCCTCCTCCTTTAATAGTGCATCCTGAAAATTAAAATTGCCCACAGAACTTTTAAAAGCCTAGATTGATAAGCAGATTCCTATGCCCTGTGGAAGCTGAGGTAGTGCCTAGAAGCCCCGAGTTCTGTATTCTTTTTTTTTTTTTGTTTTGTTTTTTTGTTTTTTTGTTTTTTTCGAGACAGGGTTTCCCTGTGTAGCTTTTGCGCCTTTCCTGGAACTCACTTGGTAGCCCAGGCTGGCCTCGAACTCACGGAGATCCGCCTGCCTCTGCCTCCCGAGTGCTGGGATTACAGGCGTGCGCCACCACCGCCCGGCTAAGTTCTGTATTCTTAAGTAGTAACTCTGGCACCCAACTGATTCCCGGTCTGAGAATACTGACTGATCAATGCAGTGTGGCAAGGGCTTGTCTACACACCAGCTAGTTTCAGAATGCAGTCTTTAGACCATCTGTGTCAGAATTACCTAGACTACTGCTAAAACTGTGGGCAGGAAATGTACTAGTATGCTTAAAATATATACTTTCATGTGTGGAAGAATTTCCCTAGTAGCACTTGATTAGTTTTATATTCATCTACTTCAGAAATAAAAGTGAGGACAGGTGGCAACTGTCTAGATCCCTAATCCCCGAGGGTGGCAATTCCTCCTTCAGCTGTGGTGGGAAGGAGCCCAGCATGCTGCCTCTTGGGATCTGAACATCTGAGGTCAGGTGCTGACTGAGTTCACAGAGGGGTGTGCCCCTCAGAATGGCCCTGGAGAAATAGCCCTGTAGATCAGGCTTGCCTTAGCCACTGGGCTTAAAAAAAAAATTGGAGCAGTGAGGCCAACTTGCCTCACTGTGTAAAGACAGTCCCTTGTGCTTTTAAGGCGGCTTAGGTTTTAACTATCGTTCAAGATGTCTCCGAGTCTTATGAAGATCCCACACAAGCAGAATGGATGCAAAGGTACATCGCTGCCTATCTGTCGAAATAGCAACTGAGGTATCCAGAGCTTCCCCAGCTTACAAACGAAATCCAGAGAAATTCGGGAGTGCACATGTCTAAATTGGACAAACATAATTAAAATCTCCGAAACCCATACTGAATATCATATAACACCATACAGAATGATGAGATGAGAACTGTAGAGAGAAAAAGCAATTCACTCGAGTTGACTCGACTAGGCTCAGTGTTTCCACAGTGCCTCATTGACCACCGTTCCAGGCGGTTTACAGGACCCCTTTCCCATACGTCAGTCCCCACCCGCACCCTATGTGACTCATTGGACTTTGGTCTACTCCTGCCATGGTTCTGTCACAGCCTCCTTGAAGGTTTGCTTCCTTACTACCCCAAGTAAAGCATTTCAGGGAATGGGTAAGGAAAAGTACATACATTGTCGTTTCATTCCCATCGCAGAAGAAGGTGAGACTTCTTTCCGTGAAAGTGAGATAGATACAGCTTCCATTAAATCTCTGGGATATTAGCCTCCTGAAAGCATTCGCCATATTGGTCTTTCCCAGTGTCCTCCACTACTCTCCAAACTATCAAATATTAATATACAAGCAAATACTTTTGAACTTCTATCTTCTTAATCTCAGAATTGACTGAAACTGGAATTCTATGAAGAACAATTCTCCCTCTCTCCCTCCCTCCCTCCTTCTCTGAGATAGAGTCTTGGGGAGTCCAGGATAGCCTGGATCTCACTGTATAGCCATGACCTTAAACTTCTGATTCTCTGGTCTCCACTTTTCAAGTGTGGAATTACAGGTTTCTACCACCATATCCTATTTTATGTGGTGTTGGTGACTGAATCAAGAGCTTGGTACATGGGAGGTGAGAACTTCGCCCAATGAGCTGCTTTCCCAGTCTTTTATCATTTATTTAGTGGGAGATGCCACAAAGGCATGCTAAAGCAGCTTGAAAACTGTAATATGAGGAGAAAGAAAACTGTGAGCAGATTGTACAAGGATCCACTTTGCCTGTTTCCATTAGATCATTGAACTCTGATTCTAACATTATTACTTCCTGTATTTTGTACATTTAAATCTGTTAGCCTTATAAATTACAACAACAGGCAGAGTCCTAAGACCTTAGTCTGAATTTCTAGAACATTCTTCTTTGGTAATGACTGAATTATATTTGTTTTGCTAAGCATTTTAGGTATACTCAGCTTTCAATAGCTACATGCTGATAAACAAATGAAATGAATGAAGTAACTATTTTATACTCTCAAAGGAAGGTAGCCACTGCTACTATCTCCATCTCATAGGTAAGAAAATTGAGTCTGGAGGAAGCCGCATAGATTATATGCAGGAGTGCACGATTTTGCATCTAGGCAGCCTGACGCCAGAGGCTGCACCATTCTGCAAATTGAAGTTCAAGGAAAACTAAGACAGATGCACATTCATGTCATTACTGATAGAAGAGATACTTTGCATGAGTTGGATTTTAAAAAAAATGCAGTGTCTACTCCTGGGTTACTTATTACACTGTTTTGAGTTTATATTGGCTTTTAATCTCTGTCTTACCAAACAAGAGCCACACTCCTTGGAATATTGGCACATATTGTTGAATGACACTTTTGAGATATCGTGAACTAACGCTGCCGGGTATCAGAATAAATAACTAATCCTGTGGTCACTGAATTAATCTTACTACTTCAAAGCATCAGTTAGTCAGAATGGTATAGATTCAAAATGCTGTGAATAAGTTTGGCTAAATCTAAACAGTTCACACAACCATCTGAAAACATACAGGTCACTGGAGTCAACTGAAGTGTGTGTGTGTGTGTGTGTGTGTGTGTGTGTGTGTGTGTGTGTGTGTGTGTAAAGTTGGAGTGGTTTACCAATCTTTCCTGTGTTTCTTCTTCAAAAATTTTAAAGGAGAAATTTGCAAATTTATATGCATGGTGTAGTATGGTTTTCAGCCTTAACAACGATCACTCCATTCACAGGAGGCTCATATCCACCTCATGGTAGCATTCACTGCCTCACTACTGTTCTTTATTTTTATTTTATATTTATACTCTTCTTTAACCTCTTCAGGGCCAAGATATCCTATTTGTCTTTGAATTTCTGGTATGCAGCATAGTGCATTAGAGCAAATCTTCAATTAAATAAAAACTTGTTGAATGAATTACAGGGGGAATGGCCAGATGAACTTGGAAGGAATTCAAGAGTACAGTCATTGTGTCTCGACACTAAATTCAGAGATGTGCTAAATTAAAAGGGCTGGAAACTGGAGAGGAAATGAGACCAAGGCGGGTGACCAGTAAAGGAATGTGGGGCTGGCTGAACGTTCATACAGACCCCAGCCTACCGCTCGTAAGGCACCACTGCAACCAGCTTAGGAGAAGAACCTGCAGGAAATTAGTGTAAGCAACCACGAATCACCAGGTCTTTTCTGGTCTGTCTCTACTACCTCTGTTTTCAGAACGTTTATTTGACAGAATTCAGAAAGGCTAACTAGTAGTGATCATTTAATGAAGCTGTACTGATCCGTGCTGTGTGACCCACATGGAGCCACCAAAAAGGGTCTTCAAGAACTTAGGCTCCCACCCTCCTCATTTGTCTTTCCACAAAGAAAATACAGTACGAATCCTTCATGGCCTCAGTGACACAAAT